CTAACCAACCTCTCCATTCTCTTGTGACTTCTGTTCTCCTCGTAAAACATACTACTAAGTTAAAAGGCATTTATTTAACGAGCATTTCCTAACTGTCTTCACACCCTTCCTTATCCTCCTTTTCCACCATAACACATACCACTTTATTATATTTATTTGTTCATATGATACATCTTAATTCTCCATGCATTTCCCTCCCCTGTGTCTTGGCATAGGGCAGACACTGAGTTTATGTTGGAATGAAGGAGTGAATACAATTTGATGCATCTAGTCTTCTAAATGAGATATGGGGATATATTTTAAGTTTGTACACATTTGTTTGAAATGGAAAAACATTTCTTTTTCTTACACTAAATATTCACATTACAATTCAAAGTTTATTTTTTCCTCTTGAGACTCTCACTGAATTAATATGTCTCTGCCTAGACAATAGAGATTATTTTTGGTGGGAGTAAAGTGGTCTGGCTCAGACATCAAGATGGGAAATCAGTAGAGCAAGTGCCAGATTACATAGAATTTGATCACACCAGTATACTCAGGGGGATTTTACTGTTGTTACTTACCTAGCTTTTTTCCTAACCACTTTGACTCTCTAATATAGTGAACTACTGAAGCAGTTATAAAAGGAGAAATCCTACAGTCTGTCAAAAGCTGAAACTCTAACCTGTTCTCCGTGGATTTCACCCTAGATTGCCACAATAGTCATTTTGATTCTGGTACTTTAAATACTAGGTTGTGTTTGTGTCCCTAAATACTTTCTTTCTTAGCTATTCCCAATCATCAAGTCTTATTTATAAATGTCCATTACTTAATATGAAAGTTAAGAGACCCTCCGTTTCATTCTTCAACTCTTTTTAATAGACATGAAAAGTCAGAAGCATTTAATATGCAAGCTTAAATATAGCATGCTTTTTTGGTAAGCAATAGAATATCATATGCCAAAAAGTACCATTTGCCTGTTGTTTTTTCAGTTTACGGTTCTTTCTGCGTCCTTCTGGGATTCCCCAACACTTCCCCTTCCCCCTTTTGTTTTTTTGCTTAAGCTTGAGCTGAAAAATCTTCCCCTGAAGACGGTTGAGCTGTGTTCACATAGTACCTAATTTGATTGGACCTCCTTACTAATTTATAAAATTTCCCCTCAATTCACATTAGGAACAAAGTGCCCTTAATACTTCTATAAATACCATCATATGAACTGATTGGGATCTTCAGAGGTCAGAGAGAAACATGTATTCACTTCTAATTACTTGAATTAACGTCAATGTCAGTGCTTCAAAGAGCCTACTAATTTCAGTGCCATTTGCTTCTTTCGGGCTTAGCAGCTGCTTTGTGGAGACGAAGGATAATGATGATTCAATGCAATACTTTCTAGGGAAACTTATGAATCTCCATGTGTGGCTTTACATCACATTCAGGAGTAGATGCACTTCTTCTCCCTGCATGTAATATACTGCATTTCTTTAGACGCATTTAAAATTACATCTGACTTTCAACAGTTTAACTTCAGGGTGGACTTGGTTGTGTTCATTTTACTTGGTGTTCATTTAGCACTCTGTACCTGCAAATTTCTTTCATCAAATTTGGGGAAATTTTTTTTCTTCAAAATTTTCTTGCCCCATTCCCATTCTTTTCTCCATCTGGTAGTCTACTGATATGTATGTTGGGTTGTTAGATATCATGTACTAGGCTCTGAGGCTCTGTTAATTTTTTAAGACATTTTTCTGTGTTGTTCACTTTGGACAATTTCTATTGCTCTACCTTCAAGTTCACTTTTATCCCCTCTGTAATTTGGCTGCTAAATCCATCCAGTGAAATTTTTTATTTCTGAAATTTTAATTTTCAGTTCTAGAACTTCTATGTTTTTTCTTTTCCTCTGCTGAGTTCTTCTATTTGTCTCCTGAGATTTTCATTCACTGAAAACACATTTTATTTTAGTTCATTTAGGATAGTTATAATAGTTAATTTCAAATCTCTACCTGTCATTTTCAACATCTGATTCATCTCAGGGTTGGACTCTAGAAAATGTGGTCCATTTTCTTTATTTTCATATGTCAGTAGTTTTGAATCATATCTTGGACTTTATCAACGATAAATTGTGGAGGTTTTGGATTCTATTGTTTTTCTATGATAAATGTTATTTCCTATGTGTTGGTAGGTAACTTTCTTGGCTGGATTCAAACTGCAAACTCTATTTCTTGGGGGACAGCTCTGGTGGCAGTTCAGATCATCTGTTTTTAACTGAACTACTGTGATTCTGTTTCAAGTAGTTCAGGATCTGTCAGAAAACTGAGCAGGAAGAGTTTGGGGGTACCCTCTCTGGCTTCTTCCCTTCTAGGATTTCTTCATTTCTTATGCATTCAAATCTCCTGCCTTCATTTTCCTGGCTCCCCAGATAAGAATACCGGAGAGGTTTTCCACGTGAACCCTGGGCTGAGCCTGCCTCCTGGACTGCACTCAGCCTTAACCTAAATGCCAAGGAAAAGGGAACTTTCTTATGTAGCTCATCAGTTCACCTCCAAGCAAGTTGCCCTTCCGAACAAAGTCAGCCCGCTTCTGTTTGCATTCCAGTATATTCAGTTGTATGATGTCCAAGTTTTACAGATGTTTTCTACTGGTGGATAGTCCAGTAGGATCTTGGTCATATTTGGACTCAGAAGTTCTATCGCTGCCTGGGACTTTCAATCTTGGGAGAGTCCTTTCTTGCCTAGGTCAATGCAATATCTTCCTAACCATTCCCTGAGTCTACCCTTGCCCCCGAAGGTCTATTCTCAACACATCAGCCAGAGGGATACCATGAAACGTTAAGAGCAACTTCCAGTGTCTCCCCATTTCACTCAGAGTAAATCCATAAATGCTTACAATGCCCCACCCTGCCTGTTTGAAACTCCTCATCCTTGGCTTCCCGGTCACGTGTCTGTGCTGGTTTGCATCTGACTTTCCTGACTGATCACTCATTCCACAAACCCTGTTTACTCTTGCTCCTCTGATCCCCAAAGTCGAGTCCACCCTCAAAATACGGTTCTTGGTACTCTGGTTTTTCTTCTTTCCACTTTCGTCTCTAGAGATTTCACCCACTTCCACACTTTAAGCTTACACGACACTGAACGAGGCTTTCCCTGTTCCCAGGAGCTGGAGACCTGGACCCCATGCCAAAGGCAAGGAGGCCTTCTCTGTGCTCCCTACTTTCTCAACAGAGCTGCAAACAGCACTGACGCAAGGCAACTTCTTCACCCTGGTATCTGCCCAGATGTGAATAAACGCAGAGCAGAACTAGAGAGCCGCCGCGCAGGTTCCAGCTCCCTTTGTGAGAAGGCGGGGCTGATCTAACTTTGCTCCTAGTGTGGAGCCCTCCCGCGGGGAGGCGGCCGGCGGCGGGCGGCGG